CCCCCCGACGCCGTTGCTGGGGTGCACCCCAAGCATCTCTGCATAGCCCTAGAAACCACCCCAAGCTTCTACTAGGCACATCAATTTGACTTTAAGAAAAAACTATGTCGTCTGGAGCTCATCTTACCTCTTCACATAGGCTACATACATTCAAGCACGTGAACTGGGCCAGGCAAAAAGCAGCTCGGCACTGAGGTGAGACTTCTCGCAGAAAATCGCACGTGTTTGCCACCACTCGAACGCCCCATCAAAAGGTTCTTTCAAGACGATCAGCTCAAGTCGCGAAGCAGCGAAAAAAATCAAAAGCCCTTCAGGCCCGGGGACAGCATTTCAACGTCCCCGGGGTTCCGGAAAACACCTCTACACCCCCCATCCCCCCTCCCCCCGTGGGACGCTCGAAAACTACCCCCAAAGCTGCTGAAGCACAACCCTGGAATGCATATTGGCACCTCGACACTCAACTGACGTTTTCTGTACAGTATGTCTCGCTAGAATGATTTATCCTTCACTCGAATAAAAAAACGACAACCGTACAGCATCTAGTCTACACATCAACGATTGGTGTCGGGGTTCGTTGCCGTCCTCGAGGGGAAAAGGGGCCGGCGGCGGCGGCGGCTGAACCAAGGGAACCACCGCCCCTCTCGGCCGTCCCGCTCTTCCTTGGACGCGAGCACCGGCCCCCACCCGCCCACCAGCCCCCTTTCCCTCTCCGCGAGCACCAGCGGGGCGGCCCCGGCCACCCTGTCCCTGGCCGCGCCCGTCTCGCCCTTCCTGACCCCCACCACAACCGCGCCCCCCGACCTCCGTCCACGTACCATTTTGCCCACCCCCCACGCTCCCCCCGACCCCCCGGTGTTTGCCATCGGGGTTGGGTTTTCGTCGCTTGGCAACGACGTTGTAAAACAAGCCGCCCCCCCCGGTGTTTGCCATCGGGATTGGGTTTTCGTCGCTTGGCAACGACGTTGTAAAACAAGCCGCCCCCCCCGGTGTTTGCCATCGGGATTGGGTTTTCGTCGCTTGGCAACGACGTTGTAAAACAAGCCGCCCCCCCCGGTGTTTGCCATCGGGATTGGGTTTTCGTCGCTTGGCAACGACGTTGTAAAACAAGCCGCCCCCCCCGGTGTTTGCCATCGGGATTGGGTTTTCGTCGCTTGGCAACGACGTTGTAAAACAAGCCAATTCACTTCGTGAACTCGGCCACCAGGTTACCGGGGTTTTTTTACCTCTTTTTTTTTGGCGGTAACCATAATGGTGGTCGAGTAGATCATGTTGTGCGGGGTCAAGAATCCTCACTCCGCGCAAGGGGGATGATCGCACCACGTTGTGGTCAAGCACCCTCGAGGCAATTACACAGTGCCCCTCTCGGACCCGGTGTTTTGCCATCGGGGTTGGGTTTTCGTCGCTTGGCAACGACGTTGTAAAACAAGCCAATTCACTTCGTGAACTCGGCCACCAGGTTACCGGGGTTTTTTTACCTCTTTTTTTTTGGCGGTAACCATAATGGTGGTCGAGTAGATCATGTTGTGCGGGGTCAAGAATCCTCACTCCGCGCAAGGGGGATGATCGCACCACGTTGTGGTCAAGCACCCTCGAGGCAATTACACAGTGCCCCTCTCGGACCCGGTGTTTTGCCATCGGGGTTGGGTTTTCGTCGCTTGGCAACGACGTGTGAGCCCGCCGAGGAACACGGTGTTCACGCGGAGCCCCTCGATCATCACTCCCTGTTGTTTCAGCTCCAGGAGGGCAGCGTGACCGAGATCTTCTTCGAGCTGCTTCTTGGAGGCAACGACGGCGAGGTCTTCAGGCATAGGGCGGTCACTTCCCGTTGCTTCCTCTTGCCGTGTAGTCGGTTGATGGCCTTCTCCATGTTCACCGGCCACAAGCCCGCCCCTTTGAACGCCGCCATGTTATTCGCAGGCGTGAAGCTCCCTCTCCATGCCTCCGCAATCACGCCAGCCATGTNATAGGGCGGTCATTCTCCCGTTGCTTCCTCTTGCCGTGTAGTCGGTTGATGGCCTTCTCCATGTTCACCGGCCACAAGCCCGCCCCTTTGAACGCCGCCATGCTATTCGCAGGCGTGAAGCTCCCTCTCCATGCCTCCGCAATCACGCCAGCCATGTCACGCTTCACCGAACTCCTCCCCCCGATTTTCAGTGGGTAGGCCGCGAGCACCCTCGTCAGCTCTCTCTTGAAGGCTCCGAACGTACCAACGTCCAAGGGCTGGGTGATGTGCGACGTGTGGGACGGGAGCTGGAAGAGGTCGATGTCCAGAGGGATGGCAAAGCTGATGGCGTCGAAGGTCGTGTGCGAGGCGTGGCCGTCCAGCACAAGGGCAACTTTGCCCTGCAAGCCGCGTGCATCGATCTGTTCGCGGAGGTCTCGAAGGTAGTCGAGGAACACGTGGCTCTGGATGAAGGATTACTCCGTGACAGTGTACTTCGCATCGGGAATGCCGTTCTTGTCCTGGATCCAAGCGGGTTGCATACGCTGGCCTTTGTAGATGATGATAGGGTTGCAGGTGTGGCCGTCGGCGCCGATGCTGGCGACCACCGTCCAAGGGGAAGCGATCGACGAGGTCGATGTCAGCAACACTTCGTTTCGGAAGATGTCGTCGCGAGACGAAAAGATAAGATGTTGNCGCGGAGGTCTCGAAGGTAGTCGAGGAACACGTGGCTCTGGATGAAGGATTACTCCGTGACAGTGTACTTCGCATCGGGAATGCCGTTCTTGTCCTGGATCCAAGCGGGTTGCATACGCTGGCCTTTGTAGATGATGATAGGGTTGCAGGTGTGGCCGTCGGCGCCGATGCTGGCGACCACCGTCCAAGGGGAAGCGATCGACGAGGTCGATGTCAGCAACACTTCGTTTCGGAAGATGTCGTCGCGAGACGAAAAGATAAGATGTTGGAATGCCCACAAGTCGTAGCCGGTGTCAACTTCAGAGGCAGCGATATTATAGTCAACCATCTGATCTTTTAGTCTCGCGACGACATCTTCCGAAACGGAATGCCCACAAGTCGTAGCCGGTCTCAACTTCAGAGGCAGCGATATTATAGTCAACCATCTGAACTTTTAGTCTCGCGACGACATCTTCGGAAACGAAGGGGAAGCGATCGAGGAGGTCGATGTCAGCAACATTCAACTGACGCTGCTCCACATGGCGGAAGTCGAAGAGCCGCGCAGCCTGGAGGAGGGCGATACTCTCGCGTTGCTCCGCATTGGGATGGTCCCCGACCCTCTCCCAGGTGTACGTCTGCACGGGGAGCATGTCTTTGAGCACGTTTTCCTCGAACGTGGAGATCACCACGGCCTACACAATCCGAGAANGGGGGGGGGGGGGGGGGGGGGGGGGGGGGGGGGGGGGGGGGGGGGGGGGGCAGACGGGCAGTGGAGTAAGAGTAAACCGGCAGGAGTTGATTTTTGATCAATACTGCTGTCTATGCGCTTAGCGCGTGCAGATTGCAGCAGTGCAAGCGTTGTGTGCCACAAATCCATCCCGCGAAAAACATTACTTGTTTCCTTTATTTCAAATCACAATGTACTTGCGTCGCCCTTGCTGTACTCTCGGATGAGCGCATAGACGTTCGGGAGATGCGGCCTGCCAAAGGAGCCGTCCGCCTTTCGCGTGAGGGCAAGTCCCGCCCGCGCCCTGAGGATGACTTCATACGCCACAGGAAGCTGATAAGGAATACGAGGCAAGGAAGAACGGGTAACAGCCAAGCAAATTACCCGTGGAAGGCGGTAAGCGTTAAGGGTCGCCCGAAGGGAAAATATTACAGGACATCATACAAAAATGCTAGCAACCGAACCACAGGATCAGCAAAAATAACAACGGCTATCACACAAACTCTACGGGGCCAGCAGTGGCGAGGGGATAAAAGAAAAAAAACGAATAGCATATCTCACCAGCATGCCATCTCCCTCGAGCACAAACGTCCCGTTCACGAGGTGCTTCCCGATATCCACCGCGGCCGCGAAGTCCAGCTGCAGCCAGAACTTTTGGTGGTACCCGTCCTTCCCGAGCCTGGCAAGCTCACCCCGGCAGAAGTCGGCCTTTCGTGACTTGGTCTCGTCGCTGCTGCTGAAGGCGTCGAAGAAGTTCTTGGCCGGCTGCCAGCCCGTCACCAACTGGTTGTTCCTCTCGTAGGTCGAACCCCAACGGTGGTTGGGGGCTTTCGGGGGCATCGTGTTCGTCGCCTTCCGCCACTGATCCTTAGCGTTGTGGCTGTGTGGGAGGACCGTGGGGAGGGCGCCGGCGAACTGGTCGATCTGGCCGCTTCCAGTCTGGTTGCCGGCGTTGTTGATAAGGTGGGACATGCAGCGTACGCCCACAGCGGATCGGCAGTGTGTCACCAGTGCCAGGAGGGCTTCAAATTGGGGGGCATCCGTCCAACATGAAGCCACGGCCGCGCTCGGGCTTCAGCTTGAACTCCATGAACACGACCTTGTGGATTTCGCCGTAGATGTCATGTTAGTCCATGCTGTTGGCCAGCATGCTCAGCCAAAGGAGGCGTTGACATTTCTACCCAGAACCGACAATGAAGACACCCAGAGAGGCAGGCAGAGGGCAGAGAGGCAAATGGAAAAAAGAAGAGGAAAACGATGAAAACGATTATGGGTGACGTATGACGATGTATGACGCACAACCTATTACAAAACATGCTCTCTGACAACAGAATTGTAGTTGCTGTTTGTTGTGTAGTTGGCAGTGGTGGCGCAGTTTGGGTAGATACAACACAGAGTGATCATTAGATCCAAAACACAGGCGCCCAAGCTGTCTTCACCTGACGGTTACAGACTTGGAGACACGCCTTCACAATACTGCACAAAACCCATGCAGTAGAATAGAGTCAGTTCTTGCATACAAATCCCAACACTCTCTTCCCTCTTTCATCAAAATGAGACACGCTCGCGATCTCGTTATGAACGACGGATGACGGACGATGGACCAGAATTCGGGCAACATGTCGACCATAAGAAAAAACACGATGTCCCTGCATGCCTGTATGCCTGTGACAGCTACCCTCTGAACTCTCATCCCATCTTCCACCTGTCCCGTCTGGTCGACGAACCGAATACCGATGCCGAAGCACTCGCAGCAGCTCGCAGCGATACGGGGTTCCGTCGAAGCACACCGTGTAGTTGCCGTTGCCAAGTTCTTCCAGTATTATCTTCATCTGAATAAATGGTGTACGAGCGCAGATGTGTGAGGGAGTGGGGGTGGTCGGGCGTCCAAAATACTGCGGGTAACATGTTTTCAACAACGTGCAGCGTGCGTCCTTTAAACCAGCGTCCAACATGAAATCAGCGCTCACAGCACTAGTGCCGATTCCTCCAATCCGTGGTCACGCTGAAGAGCCCCTCTCTACCCTCCACCCTCCCTCCTGCGGTACTTTGCCTTCGATTTTTAATGCGAGAAGAGTACAGCACTCTCATCCCCCTGTTTACGCACGAACTAGCGCTATCCACTAGGCCAGGAGCGGACGCGCGAGTAAGACTCACTTTGTTTGCAAGAAAAGCTCGCGTACGCCGGGATTCGAATCCCTGACCTGACCTCCAGAAGGTTTCGAGGTTACCAACTTGACCACCAAGGCGAGTGTTATTGTTGTTGTTGCTTCTCACATTAGCTCTATAGTCCACGAAACATGGGGAGCCCGTGGTCTCAAACCCGGCACATACGACGCCGCGGGGTAGGCCCTGACCTCTGGAACTAATTTCTTGACATTTTTATGCACGTTTTTCGGCACGTGCGTAAGCTCAAAAGGCGACTTATGCACGCTGGTAATGCTCAAAATGGCGACTTATGGTCGCTGGATATGCTTATTTTCCTCGCTTGTGCTCGTACTTATGCACGCTTTTCTTCGTCCCTCGTGCTCGGGCAATGCTTGTTTTGGTCGTTAATGCTCGACATATGCGCGCGCGGTTGGCTTCGTCGACACGCTTTGTCTATTATGCCGTCTCCCACCGTCGAAATGTACGAATAATTGTGTTGCTGTACCACACAGCGCAAAATATCTTGGACTCTAGTCTTTCAGGAAATGTTTTTTCGACGCGTCCGACTACTACTACTCTGCACGCGTTCGTTTTAATAAGGGTGAAGAGGGGACTACTTTCCCGCATTCCCTTCACCCTTGGTCATCCGTGATCGCCATTCGGCAGACAGAGTAGATATATTTATTTCTGGAATCAATCGCGGTAAAATACTTCAAGCGACATAAATGCGCCTCCAAAAGCCCCTCCCTGCTGTAGCAGTGTCAAACCCATCAGAACACCAAATAAATTGCTGTAGTGCCTCTAGAATCATGGACACATTCCATCCCCCCCCATAATTGTCTATGCAACGAAAAATAGCAATTTTCAATTAAAACAATCAACAGCCATAGCAGTGCGGGCTACTAGGCTTTTGCTGTAAAATGGAACACCGCTGGCATACCACGCAATGGCCGCTGAACCAAACAGCAGGGTTGCCCTGCTTTCTGCAACAAACCGCACAAAAGTCAAGAAAAAAATTCAAGCCGAAGCCATGCCACACATTCAATTCCAACAGCAACAAAAATACGCACAGACACTTGTGACTTCCGTAGAGTTCACCTGAAAATGCAGTAGTACCAAACAAAACAGAAAAATAACAGCAACAAGTAAGAAAGCGCCTCAAATACGATATATCGGACTCATATCCAAGACACCACAAACACACACCACGGGCAAAACAGCGTACTCGCGCACTACTACTCTCCGCGCCCCCTGTTGTACTTGAGAGGGGCAGCTGCGGCAATGCGATCGCTGAAGCTCGACTCCTGCCTCTGGTCCATACACGCACGCAGAATAGAAAATACTCGCTCCATGAAGGCAGAGGATGGCTGAATCAATGCGATATCCTTGGCAACGTTGTACTCGTGAGGAAGCCTAGTCTTATTGTCACGCCAGAAACTCCACAATTCCTAGTCGGTATCAACGTCGGACGCGGCGAGGTGGTACTCGTGCTTTTCTCCCACTAGCTTCGTGATGACCTCTTCCGTGATGAGCGGAAAGGGGTCCAGCAGGAGGAGCTCATCATAGCAGCAATTGACAATCACCCGAATCTCTCCGATCGTCTGCGTTAGGCACTGCAGTGAAAAATATCGACACTAGCTAAGAATCGTTCCACATTGAAGGGGTCTTCCACGATCAGGCACANATTCAGGAAAAAAACGGAGAAATAATTGACAACACAAGAGATGTTTGTCCGTACGCCACGGTTCGATGCCGCCCGCCTGCTCCGGTGCCGCTGCTCCGGTGCCGCTGTGGCCAGTCCTAGCACGACCAAACTCAACCCGCTCCGTTTCGTACACGCTCTCGTTGCTGTCCATCCCAGTCGGTTCCTCGCTTTCTCCCTCGTTGCACTTAGGGTTCTTGGTCTAAAAATTCTCGCGCCGAAGGATCAACCAGCCCAATCAGCTCGTCACCACCTGTCCCCTCCTCCTTTGATGGCAAAACCAGGTTACTGAGACAGTACAGCTCCCTCTAGCAAACCTAGGGCCGTATACATATAGTGTCCGTCCACCTTTCTGATGACGTCTGCCTCCGCGCACAAAGATGCAATGGGCATTGCTGCCTACACCGACGGCCTGGAGACCCGCGTATCTGCACGTTTGCACCTGACGCACCAGTGCCGATCCAACTCCACCACTACGCACGCCTCGCGGCGGGTGCGCCGCA